GGTCACCTTTGCAGATGAAGAAGAAACAGGTTGCATCTGTCACTGAGGAGGCTGCAAGGGAGAGCTACAAGGGGCACAGCAGAGCTCAGCTGCATGATTCCCATAGGATGAAGGAACAGATTCTGCCTAAACCTAAGACGCTGCTCCAAAAAAGAAGTGTTAAAAGAAAAAACACATTATGTGCCCAGGAAGTTTCTCTCCTGCAGAGAGACATCTGCTAGTGAAAAAAACCAAGGTGTTTTCCTTAAACACATCTATACTTTCCTGGCTTCTTGTGGCATATGAGTGTTTGGATTTAGACAGGGCCAGCTTAAGATAAAAGGTGAAGAGGTCCAGTCCAGCGGCCCAAATTTGAGAAGGGCTCAAACAAAGGCGCAGGAACAGCAAGATACACTTTGCATTAGGAGTGCCTGCCCATTGCTTCCAGCTCCTAAAGGCATAGAGGAATGGCAAAAATACAAACTGGAGTTCTGAATTTCCACATCACCTAGGAGACAGCACTTGAGGCAGGAAAGCCTCACAACAGCACAGAAGAAATAGGTGGGGTGGAAGGATCTTTCGAGGATCCTTCAAAATAATCTGCCTTCCTTACCTATTTGCTCCCCAGGCAGAAGAGCCAAGGGACTAGTTAAGACAGTCCTGGCAGAAAATACCCAAGCAACAATACAGTATCTCAAGAAGATGAAAGTTCATTCCTGTAATGTGATTGTTTCTGGTCTGGAACAAAAGGTTCTGCAGAGAAAACTGCTCCAAGACAGCCAGATTAACAGTTTAAGAGAAAAACACCCTCTGTGTAAAAGAGTACAACTTGCTGTAAGCTTTCATCCTCTTTTGTTTACCAGACCTTGCTGTTTACCTTTCATTGGGTATCTGTTATCCCAACCAATTTAAGATTAGGGGATTTTTAACATTTTAACTTTGCAACAAACCAAAAATTAACTAAGTTTTAAGGTATGTGGATTTTATGACTGGAAGTTGTCTGTAACAGTGCACAGATTGGCAATGAACATCAAAGTTTCCAGGTATCTTTCTGATCAAGAGCAGCTGTTCTTTCAGTATTAAAAAAAAAAAAAAAGCACCTTGTTGCCCGTTGCACAAAAAGCTTTGGTTGTTTGCAAACTGTTTCTTCCAACACTTGAAAGCAAGCTAATCAGAAAACAATGGAACATGGCCCTCCTTTCCCAGTTAAGGGGAGGCCACTCATCAGCTCTAGAGTCGCGCAATATTCAATTGAGCTGATCAAGTTCAGTTTGGACCTGTTTTTAGTCAAAGATATTAAGCTCTGCTAATTTGATCTGGCTTCTTCCTCTGCCCCCCCAAACACTCCCGGAGCATGCATCACGCACAGAGATGGCTGTTTCTGTCACATGCTTTAGTGTGGGTACCCCAGGGCTGGGACAAAATAAGAGGACTAAGCATTCCTAGCATCTTGGGTTCATACCTACACCATCTGCTTCTCTTTTATCTCTTTCTTGTTCGTAAGTTCTTTATCTTCGCATTACGTTTAGTCTCCAAACACTGTATTAAGACATTACGTAATAAACATTCTATGGGAATAAGCTTACAGCATGAGCAACCTGGCTTCGGGACACAGTCTAGTAGCCTCATGTTCTCTCATTCGCTTGAGGGAAAGCAATGTGACACTTGAGTAGAGAATAGCTGAACACCGGATTAGAGGAGAATGCCTCAGTCATCAAGTCTACCCATCTCCACCCATGCTCCAAGCAGCTACAGCACTGAGCCCTTCAAAGTTTTTTTAGGAGACAGTTTTATGGCTAAATATTTTTTTTTTCTCCTCCTATCACTAGTGAAACATTAATCCATCAGTTACAAATTCATCATTTAGGAAAACCTAGTTTCAATTCACTGCTCCACCCCACATCTTCCACACAACCCTGAGCTGTTACAGCCCCAGCACCTCTATAGAGCAAGGGCCTTAGTACCTCCTACTTCACCAAGGTGTTGCAAGTGTCAGATATATTTAAGAGCATGAAGCATTCAGATACTATGGAAACCAGGGCAAGAGAAAAACCAAAAATAGATGGAAGACAGAAGCTGTTGAAAAGTCTGGAGAAGTCTTGCTGAGGAAGGCTGTGCTTGCTGCAGCTGATCCCAGAGTGGGATCCATTTA